AACAGTCAGCTGGAAACCAGGTGGGACTTTCTGGACCAGGACAATAAACTTCTCATCCACAAGTCCTCTAGACGGCTGGGCCGACAGCTTCACACAACACTGCTTCATGTCCATCCTGAACTGAACAGAACAGAAACTGACCAGACTCTACTTTAAATGGCTTCCTAAAGACATTAAGTCTAAAGTCATCATTTCTTGTTAATTCAAACACAAGTGGCAGCAAGGACTCTAACAAGACCTACAGTTAACTGAATGAACAGCAGCCTGACTGAAGTTTTAGAAAGACCAAGATAGTTGCGCAATGTGCAGATTACCAAGGTACCATTTAATAATGCAATGTCACCCTGAAGTTTAAATAGTCATTTAACACAGTGTTTTAATGCCCTCTATGATTGATTGTTTCTTTTATGACTCATTTGTATTGTAGCTTGTGTCACAACCTGGCTCAAGGCTGAACAAAGCATGGGAGACCACACACGAGTTGTAGTTTAAGTTTATTTAAGCATAATGTGGGGAAAAACCTTAAGCTGGGCCAGATGTCTTCAGGTCCCCTCACACATTGCTTAATTCTTCTTCAATAAAAAACTTGAATAGAGTTCAACACAATATAGATTTACTGTGATATTGCTGGTCTATGGAGTAACTACTCTTAACTGAGGTTTTGTCTTTGCCTTTATCCCATTGCACGCTCATGTTTTAGGCCCTATGTTAAGGTCCACCTTTCCTAATTCTATTCTACTGACTTTTGGCACCATTTCTTTCACCCTTCAGGAGTTTCTGGGCATTTTGCCGCCATTCTGTATCTAACAGTGTCCACCCTCCCTATGCAGGTGCATTGGAGCAGAGCTTCTTTTTTAATATGCTACTATTTGTAAAAATAAAAAATAAACTTTAATGTATGAATTTATATGTAACAATATTATGTGTTGATTACACATATCCCAATCCAGATAACTACATTTTATTTCCCACCAACTAAAATGGAAATTAAATGAAGACAAACAACAAAACCAAACAGTGTGGAAGCCAGATGAGAGAGAAAGACTGGCTGATAGCCACCAGTTTATGTAGTCTTTCAAAGAGACCAGAGGGGTGTAAACTAAATTAATGGGTTAGCGAGGTTGAGTTTTCAATGTGACGAAGGTGACTCTCTTATTGGTTAGATCACCATTGTAACTTGTGCTGCACACTTACCTGTTCCGAAGGGGGTAAGATAGGCATTTGATATTGTCATACAGACATTAACAGGGTTACATATGTATTTAGGATCAAATATATCCTTTCCATGTCTATAAAATGTTATGTATGTATGTATGTAATGTAAGTGTTAATTTGATTGTAAAGTGTATATTTACAGGAACTGTTGCTGATACAAAACCATGATTACAAAAAGTTCCTGTTTAGAGAGAGAGGAAGGTTTGTTGTATTTATACCCTGAAGTTTCAGATTGAAACTAACTAAACACAGCTTGCATCTGTATTTGACGACCTGGGAATGAGAACAGGTTGTGAAGTGTGTAGGAGAAACTACGGTGGTCGTGAAAGGCAAAAGGCCCGTTCTAGAGTCAGTGTTAAATTTGTCTGTACTGGGCTACCGTATAAACGACCACGGTAGAGGACCCACAGTGTCTGTAGATTAAAATGGCTCATTCTTAGGTAACAAAAACGTAATGATTCCTATATTCAGGTGATTATGCACTAGTGAACATGCCTATTAGTTTTATATTCCATTTCTTTCAGTAGAGCCGCCTAACTGTTACACACTGGACCTTTAATCAAGTGTGCTTCGTTCAGCTGTGAGTGTGATTACACTTACAATTAGTGTTTGAGAAAGACTTGCTACAGAATCTACTCCTTTGCAACTTTCAGTGACTACAAAGCAACAAGTTCGACATAGTGAAAGATCTGTGTTGCTTTATTGTTATGGAAACAGGTCAAGACAGCAAGTTTCAAAATGTCATCTACCAGGGTAAATTATTAGCACCTTCCCAAACTAACTTGTTGGCACAAAAAAAATCCTCCAAATTTTAAAAGAAATGTGTGTAAACTTTAACAGTACATTATTGTGTTTCTGTGTAATATTTATTATGTACACCTGTTATATAGTAACATATTTAATATATAGATATATTGAGGTGCTCATTACATAATAAAGTTTAATTCTCCACTGTGTTTTTCTTTAACTGTGCACATCTTTAACATAACCACAAAGGAAAAACTCTTTTACAATATCACAGTATCCATATTTGAAGACAAACATTAATTAATTAATTAACTAATTATTATTAATTAGAAATAACTAAATTAACAATTTATCATTCTGTCAGATTCTATCTATTAACTAAAAATAGATGGTAAAATAACAGTAAATAAAATAACCACTTCTAAACACTTACTATAGAAGCAGACTGGGAACAGAAGCAGACCTCACAACTGTCTTTTTCAGGTTTGGTGACTTACACTCGTGTGTATGAAACACTGATCAACATCTGAGGTTTATACAAAGGTCTGTCCGGGTGGAGCTTCAGTCTCCTCCTACAGCAACATCACTCTATCTAAACCCAAGAGGCACCACTGAGTCACCAAAGCTTAGAATAGCATAATGATTTCTGACCACACCTGACACCTGGATGTAGTTACGTGCATTGCAGTTAAAAAGCACTGAAAATATATTTAGGCAAGACAATTACGTGTCTCATTATTTCCTGGAGTGGACTGTGTAATCTGCCTGCGCAACATGACTGTGAGTACAGGAGCAGAGCCAGTGATCTAGACGCCTCCGTAAAATGGAGGACAGCTGTAACCACCCAGGTGAACACTCTTTGTGAGTGGGAAAGGCCAAATGAGAGTACCTTGAACTGATAGGTCTGTGGTCTGGGCAGGTGGGTATATGAAAGTATGTGTCTTTTAGATCTAGTTAAGTGAACTACTCCCGTTTCTCTAATTCAAGATCTGTCTGATGGTCAACATCTTGAAAGGCAGCACCTTTACTAAAGTTTTTATTGGTTACCAACCTGGAGGGTAGGGGTCCACCACTAGGGGTTATCAGAGTTTCATGGGGGGTCGCAAAGCCTTCTTGATTTTAAGGGATGTAAGAAAAAAATATACACAGTAGGCCTTTATCTCAGAATTTGATTCACTTCTGTGAAGAAAAATAAATGTAAAGCCAATTGTCTAATAGAACAATGACCAAGCACCAGGGACAAGAAAACATTGAATTTGTCAAAAAGGAAGCCTATATGTAGTAGAAGTATATATGATTGCTAATACATAATGCAAACAGAGAAGTGTATAAAAAGCTCCCTTAACAGGAAATAATCAAATTCATTGTATCGCTTGAAATACCAATAAAATATAGAAATAAAATAAATAAATAAAATTGTCAGTTTACTAAATGATAGAAAAGGGGTCTCTTAAGGAATAAGACTGGGAACCACTGGCCTAGATGAGATGCAGGATGCCAGCTTTTTTGGGAATGAGACAATATGCAGAATAAAAAGTTAAAGGTCTGGTATAGAATATTATTATTGTCAGTGTACACACACACAACAATATCAAATTTTCAGCTTCTGTACTCGATGCGATAAAAACAGGACAGAAATAAAACAATAAATATCATTGAATTGCAATAAAGTATTAATGAAGTAACAACCAGTATAAAAAATGTCCAGCAGTAGTAAATAGTGCTACAGTTTGCATGTGCAAAGCAGCACCAAAACCATTACAGTATGTAGATATAGAGTCTTAATAAAAACACAATGTAGATAAATGTATTAATCCCTGAAATTTGAGATTATTAATTACAGCAGCTGTCATTGTGTCTTAGATTCAGATATCATACACAATATCCAGAATAAAGGCTTGTGGAACCGTGTAACTGTATGGCTTATTTGGTGTCATAGTGCAGTTATGCATGTGAAGTTGTCAGACCATTCATGGGGGACATTGGGGGGGGGGGGTTGATTTAACAGTTACGGCTCTGGGGAGGAAGCTATCTGTCTCTCTAGTCTGGAGGTGCGTGTGCAGAAGGCCGTATAACGTCTGCCAGATGAAAGGTGTTCAAACAGATGATGGCCAATGGCCAGGGAGCTGTATCCCATTCATCTTCTGTGAGCTGCAGTTGACCCACTGAGGAGCTTTCCTATCAGCTGCTGCCAGACCCAGATGTAATATGTTAGGGTGCTCCCTGTGGTGCTGCTGTAGAAGGTCACCAGCAACTGTTGGGGCAGACCAGCTTTCCAGGTCCTCTGAGATGCCCAGAAATCTGAAGCTGGACACTATCTCCCCTGTTTCCGTTGATGAAGACTGCAGCATACTCGTCAGTTCGTGATCATCTGAAATTGATGATTAGCTCCTTGTTGTTTGCGGTACTTGTTCTCAGAGCACCATCTCATCAGGTTCAGTAATCTGTAGTCTTATTGATCGCTGTTGGAGATCAGCTGCTCACCTGCAAACTTCATCACCTGCAAACTTAACAATGGTGTTGTAACAAGTGGAAAATGCAGGAACACAGTAGTGTGTGAAGAGGGAGAAGAGGATGGGGCTTTGATGTCGGAGAGGACCATCCTTTCAAAATGAATAGAACTTTATCATGTTGATGTGGGGGTAACTGAACTGCTGTTAGTTTGTTTTTTTGCACTTGCACTATGATGGCTGACTCCAGGCACTTGGGGACCATTGCCAAAAAGAGAGACAAGTTGAAAATACCTCAGCTAGCTGTTTGGCACAGTCCTTATTTTCTTCCCAGAACTCAGATTCAGATTCAGATTCA